AAAAATTATGAAAAATAAAAATAGTTCAAGCTCTTAATGATTATTTACCTAAAAGTTATTAAAAAAAATAGTTAAATGAAGATAAATAAAATATTCTATGTTCACGTCAATAATTTTTATTTTTATTTCATATATTTTAACTCAATTTATTATTATTATTATTTTTTTTTTTTGAAGTGAGAAAAATATTGTAAAATTCACCAACTTTAAAATCTATTATTACTTGATAATATATTATTTTTTACTGAATAATCTAATTTTATGGAATAAAACGCCATAAAACAATTTTTCAAAATTTTAAATCAAACGTTTTTTCTAGTTTTATGCTTTGAGAAATAATTTTTCAAGATGAAAACTTAAAACACCTTTTTAGCAATCTAAAAACTGACCCTCAAAACAGAATTGAAAATGAATTGAAACCTAAAAACTGAAACACAAACCAAACGCCCCCTAATTGATTCAATGTAAAATAGACTTGAAATCAATTGTATTCGCATGCAAAGGTTGAGCGTATAGAATCTGATGTTGAATGAATGCATGGATCCGCTATTACTTAAATGAATGTGTAACTGTATTTAAGTGCATATTATGCATCTAAGGTCAACAACTGATTTTGTTGAATCAAACTATTCTTTGGCAAGAAAATTATAATGTTCGAGAACTCTGAAACATGTTTGATTAACTTCTTCAAAGTGCGACACTCATCTCTGTGAAGGGGGAGTCATGCACTTATTGTTGGTATTGCTTTAGCACTGGGTAATCTAAATAATGCAGTATAATGGATTCATAAATAATAAGTTAAAAAGTAACCGTTGATGACAGTGGTAGTAATGATGATGATGATCCAGTAAAATGTATTGTTTGTATAAAATACAGTTAGAGTTTCCCACATTTGGTTGCTCGCTGTTCTTCCTGCAGGTGCTCGAGTATCTGGCAATGAGGGATATTCTTACTTTGGAGCACATAAGTGGAGGTCCTGCATGTCCTGGAGTGGAGAGGTCAATGAATACTCAATAAGTTTCTTTTTAACTATTTGTAGAGATTTTGTTTTCTTTGCGGAATTCGATTAATTTCTGAATTTGCTGAGTTGCCTGATTTAAATATCCACGATGACTTTCTCACTTGTGATATACGTGAACAGTATTTAGATACATTCAATTGTTATTATTTAGGAGCATACCATTATTTTAGTTGTGGTACCATGTTTATTTCTGATATTTAGTTTTGGATGTCAGAACATTTCTTTATCCATACTGTGTAGTTGAAGTCTTGTTTTTGAGATACTTGCAACTTTAAAAAATTTGACTGGTTCAGTTTACCTAAATGGTCTTCCAAAAATTTCTATGCTTGACAATTTACCTGGGTCTGCACTCTAGTGCAAAGGAGGAATATATAATGCTCCTGTTTGGTGGTGTTTAAAATTAGATTTTGATAGAAGTTGATGGAACGTGTGGTTGAAAAGTTGTGAAATCTATAAAATATGTGGTTAAAATTAATTGTTGACTTTGACTTTGGATATATTTTTTTTTACTTCTTACTGATATTGTCACCTGCAGCACTACAGTAAAGAATTTTTCTTTTCTTCTAATTGTTTAAAGATGTAATTTGTGTTGTCTTGAAATGCTATGAGCAAAGCTTTTCTTAAATACTTCTCTTTAAGTTTGGAGTTGTTTTGGTTATTACCTTTCATGCTTATGTATTTTTCTGAATTGCACGCTATTTGTATTGCAGCTTTAAGGATTCAATATTGATACTGACGGAACATGCCGATAAACAGGTATCATTTATAAACTGTCTTGCATTTTAATGTTAATCTCGTAATTGGGCATCCATTTTTCTGGTAACTTTTTGACGAAGAATGGAACGTATGCTATTCCTATGAATGGAGAAACGACTCCAAAATAATGTGCTTGGATGAAGACATTTTTGTCTTGAAAATAAAAATATAAAAGTGAAGTAATGGTATAAGGAAGATAATCCTGGGTAAAATTTTAATTCTGTTCTTGGTCCTTTTGTTAGTTGGAGTACCTTCATAGTTGTTCGCTAGAAGTTTTTGAATGTCAAATCTGTTTTTCGACTCTGCAGCCCTTGGAAGTGCTGTTTGATAACTCTGCCCTTTCTTTCTGTCTTCTCTGGTTCTTATCTATTGCCTTTTGTTTTAGACTCGAATTAGTATTTATGGAAAAGAAGAAAACTTACTAGTTGAAGTAAAAGAAAATCGCAGCAGATTTCTCAAGATGGCCAGATGAGATCTCCTAGGCTTCCTGGCTATCGACCAAGCTTCCCCTGAACACGGGGATAAGAATAGAAAAAGAAAGCATTAGTAAGAATTAGAATTTATTTTCAGCAGCACTAATATATTGTGTGTTATGTGTTTCTCTCCATTCTCTTAATTTGTGTTGTATATTTTTCTTTGAAATGTCAGTTTACTCTCTCTCTCTCTCTCTCTCAACCATGGGAGGGAGGTTTTGGCTACTTTCCACCACGGGCTATTTCCCTTATTTGACGTTGAACAATGATTATGGTGGTGACCTTTAAAATTCATATTAAATAACAACCTGATGATAGCTACAAGTAATTAACTTGTATACAAGAAAATCCACATCTATGCAATATTTTTTTTACCCAACACTTGGCAAACATAAAATGAGGTGAACTCACATACCAAGCCATAACTCGTTTATTCTGAATACTGTGTTCCATCTTTCCGACCTTTTTCTAGTGTCCATAACCGCATATAGGCTATCATAATAATTTATTGCACTAGATTTTGTAATGGTTTTGGTTTTTATTTGTCGAATAATTGCACTCATTATTGTCTGGATGTTCTGACAGTTGTTAGTCCTGAAGATTATCATCTAATGTAATTTTAGAAGATTCTGACTCAATAATTGAATGCATATTGCTGAGCTGTTGATTAAAGATTTGAATTTTTTTTTTCTAATCAGGTCCATCATATTGCACGGAACTTCCGTGATAAGTGGATTCCTAGGCATATGAGAAAAAATGGCTGTATGGTTGCTGGGAGGATGGAATTTCATCCTCGTTCTAGCTACACCAAGTTTTCTGTTGCACATGATCATGGGAGTCAGATAAAACCTTCACAAGCAATGGAGTGTTTTGAAACGCAGTCCATGCCTGAATCTTGTACGGGTAACACTGGTGTTCCAGACATCTCTGCCTCAGGTGATAATTGTGGAAACAGCGGCACAAAAAAGCGCAAGCGTAAAAGTAGATGGGATAATCCATCGGAGGCATGCCCGACGCCAAACATCAATGGGGATGGTCCTCCTGGGTTTCTGTCTCCTTGTAATAATCCTATGCTCCCACATGATGCGTCTTTGACCTCTATTGATCANTCACCGAGAAGGACCCGTGCACATGTTGGGTCCATTTGATGTAGTTTTGGGTGATTCACAGCAAAGATTCAGTTCACGTCTCCCTGTGTCTTATGGCGTTCCATTTACTATCATAAAACAGTATGGGGGCCATGAAGCAGAAGCTTCTAAGGGTTGGGCTGTAGCTCCCGGTGTGCCATTCCACCCCTTTCCCCCATTGCCTCCGTATCCCCGTGACAAGAGGGACCCA